AGCTGTTGTATCATTGCAGGTTTTTGACTGACAATTAGACATGAGGTCGAAACAGGTTATGAAATGTTTTGTTTATTATCTTTGCGATTGGATACTTCAGAGTATTTTCATTCATCGAGTAACCTAGTATATGGATATATGAGTGATTGTGATCATGGTATCAACAATACTAAAGCAAGGTACACTAAATCCTTTTCAAATTGCTGTCGACAGAAAGCAGTCATCAAACATCACAAAACTCGATCAAAATTAAATCATCACTCTTCAAGAGTCAGTTTAATCAATTATCAAACCATAGAACACGATAGTCTCTCTTACTGCAGGTGACAACGGCCCCTATTCTGCCTCACAGTGAAACACATCTGTGTTGTCTCCTTTGGCGAATGACTGCATTCGAAATATGCCTCTTTGTACTCAGCGGTGAATGGATACTGAGTGGCTCTTAACCCTCTGACGCTTCAGGCTACCCTGGGCTGAGAATGAGATATGCGCTCACAATAATACAGTGCTTCGAGCATGAATTGGGTACAAGGTTGTGCCTTACGATCAGACCTTGTAATCAATAAAATGGTCGTCGTCATTGGTACCGTCATCTCAATCATGAGTTCTTCACACAACCTCTGCCCGTGAAGACCCGGGTTAGAATAGGTCTTCAGCAAGCCATTATTTGTATTAAGAGGCGACTAACAGGATCGGGTGGTCAGGCTCGCTGACTTGGTTGACAGATGTCATTATATCCCAATTGCACGTATTGAAGCTCATGATGTTGATCACTGGATTGTCAGTTCCAGACTTGATTATTAACAAAGGCCGCAATGTACCTGGAATATTGCTGGGCGTTAAACAACAAACAAACAAAACAAACCACATGAAGCTGACACTCGGTGTTGTAACTACGATACCTGTATATTGGGATGTCCGTATATTGTTTTCTTTGATTCCAATCTCCAGTCCGCTCTAAATCTCTTTTGCGACGTAAACTAGTAAAAGGTTTGGATCTAACATTTCCGGCGGACGTAGAAATTTATGCCCTGATGCGATAAAAGAGAAAAAACACTCCTATCCTTGAACACCCAGGAAAAGACGAGGTCAGGATGATCTGTCTTCATGTAGTTTCTGTTTTTAAAAAAATAGATTTCCGAATGCATGTCACGGACATGTTTCAATCTGCCGATGTACAAGAATAGGAATAAATTACAGTTGACGGTAACCAGCTGGTCGACTGAGCTGAGATTAATTTGACTTTCTCTGACTTGGAAAGAACGTTGGGCACTTCGTTTCGAAGCGGAGTTTCAGGGGTGTATTTTCCTGCTCCAAACCAATCACCATTGCGCGAACCAATCAGTTATAAACATTTTGACATTGTGTGTCTTTTTATGAGAGAGAGAGAGAGAGAGCGGGGGTGTTGTCGCGGGGCAATTAACCCGGGGGCCAAAGTTGTCCGGCAGGCAGTTAGCCTAGACCCGTAATAAATAGACACATGGAAAAAAACATCGTAATATCCCATTTTATTCATTGTATCTGAACTTATCTACACTTCAATTTAACTTACTATCTGGATTAATTGGCCGTCAAGGAATAATTCAATGTCGTACTGATATCTGTGATCGTATGACATACAATCCTCAAAACATCACACCACTACCAATAACAGAGCACAATGTCAGTATCTCGCCTAACCTCCAACCTAAATGTATTTTCATGTATCCCTGGGAATTTCACTTGGTGTTTTCTGACCTAAAATTACTCATTTTGGTCAGTTATCTTTTTATTTCAATGATATCATGCCAAAATGGGTGACGTCACGTGAAAAAAATCATGAATTGAAAATAATGATAGAACTTATTAATCATATCTTGTGGTATTCATATTGCAGGCATCAAATAACAATAAATGGATTAATGACAGACACAATTTCGTCTTGTGAAAATATATACATCAAATGTTTGTTAAACAATTACGTTATATTTTCATGACTTACGTCAATAACCGATATAGCAGTGTTGTGTGACTTCAGTATCACAGGCTTGTAATTAAATCTTCAGCCGGTAAGATTAAATGATTATAGTTTAAAGAGACCCGTGATATTTTGCAAGGTAAAGTTGTACTTTTAATATCTTCTCATTTATCATTATATTGCTGATGGGAAATAAGTTTGACAACAACAATACTATTTTGTACAGATTAAATGAGCATTCAAGATGTTCATTTGCAGTTATTGTTCTGGAAACCATGTATTCGTAATTTCACAAAACTTGCCTAATCTTAAGATGCATGTGATACTTTCGTGTTATCCTTGTGTTAGGGCCTAGGACAGAATGCTTTACGATCAGATTTCGATCTAACTCATTAAAAGTTTTGAAAGCAATCACGCGTTAATATTACACGTTCGATAGATCAAACGTTCGCTGAGTCTTGGTTTGTTCAGTTGTCTGAGGCGCCGCAATTCGCTGTGAAGTTGCGACCCGTAGGCATCCAATGCCATAAATCGGTGATCGAAACCAATATTCTCCCTGATTATGTGCCTTTGTTTGCCCGAGCCATATTACATTTCTTCGGTTCCTCAACAGGGGCAAACGTCCGAGACCTGCATCACTTCGGGTTGTCTTCCCAAATCAAGCTGACAAGCGATAAAACTCACTCACTCGCTCACTCTTTATTTGTGATTTGCGAACACCATCCCTTGCTTATGAAGCTGTTCTTTCAAATCAATTTGACAGTCTTTGTGTTGAGACTGTTGTCTGTATCATGAAGCTCCCTTCACCTTCATCGTGGAGTTGTACACCTTGAAGCTGAAGGCGACAGCTTGGTAACGACGTACAAGACCTTGGCATAAGCATAATTCCAGAAGCCAGTCAACATGTATGTGCACAAATGATCAAAGAGTTTGAGGAACGTTTTCATCATCCGTTTAGGTCACGATTCATTTACAGTCATTGTGTTGATATTTGTTTTAATAACAGATCAAGAACAAATCACCCCGCCTCAACAAATGAAGCCTATTGTTATTTCCATTGAGATGAGTTGGTTCAGTCATTGATTCATGCCTTATGTTGAACTAATGTGTTTTGTACTGCGTGTCACATCACTCTTCCGCGTGTGTCTGACATTAGCTATCAGTCACAGTTGGACTACAAATGATACATGGAATAAACTTATTGTGTGCATATGTGACATCTGAGAGACGAACCAAAAACCAAGTCACAACACTCTTCCTCATGTGTCTGGCATTAGTTATCAGTGACAGTTGGACAACGAATGATAATACATGAAATGAACTTATTGTTCCAGATACTGTGTGAATATGTAACATATGAAAGCTCAACCAATAACCAGTTGATCCTGCAACGGCAAATTTACATTGATCTGTCCCTATGTAGCGAAACCGCTTTCTCCAGTCCATGTCATGAGGTCTGCCAGCGCCTTACCCATGCTCGTGAGTTTCATAAAAGTAGTCTGAGACAGACATGAATGATGCCTCTCAACCCACATTCAGCTGACGCGTCTCAACATACCTGGAATGCGGTTCAAAGCGGCATTAAAACACAAGCATCCCAATCAATCTTTAGCAAAGCAATGAACAAACGAATAAATGTCTTGTTGATTCTCACACAACGAATCTCTTGCATTAAGACATTGTGTTAGACGCATGATAGTTGAATGACATAACAATCACAATGGTACAATTCTTATTTCAAGACAAAAACATGAAAGAAAATGGAGATAAAATGACGATAACTAACTTTGCTTTTCGGCCCAAGTGGACAATTGGATTTACATGATGCTGCCGATGGGATATTCCAGTGCAGAAAAAATATGGTCTGTGGTATTAAACTGAAATAAACATTTACCAATGTGCCCATGAGGACCAGAAATAGTCAGCCTTTGTGTCGTGCGTGTGTGTTTGTGTGTATGTGAGAGAGAGAGAGAGAGAGAGAGAGAGAGAGAGAGTGAATGTTGCGCGTGTGTGTGTAATGTGTATGTGTCTGATGTATGTTATATGTCTATAGTGTGCGTAGTTTATGTAAGTGGTGTGTGTACTGTGCATAAGGGTATTGTGTGTAGTTTTATACATGTGTATGTAGTTTGTGTAGTGTGTCTGCAGTGTGTAAGTATTATTTGTATGTGTGGTGTTTGCAGAATACATATATATATATATATATATATATATATATATATATTGCATACATACATGCATGCATACATACATACATGTGTGTGTATATATATATATATATAGTGTAGCATGTGTGTTGTGTGTGTTTCAGCGTGTATGTGTATTATTATATACATGGTGTGTCTGCAATGTGTAAGTATTTTGTGTATGCGTGGTGTATGTGCGTTGTATGTGTTTTGAGAGCGTGTGTATTTATTGTGTGTAAAGTGTGTGTATGTGTGGTGTGTGTGCATTGTATGTATTTTGAGAGAGTGTGTATTTTTTTGTGTATGTGTGGTGTGTGCGTTGTATGTATTTTGAGAGCGTGTGTATCTATTGTGTATGTGTTGTATTTTGAGAGAGTGTGTATTTTTTTGTGTATGTGTGGTGTGTGCGTTGTATGTATTTTGAGAGCGTGTGTATCTATTGTGTGTAAAGAATGTGTATGCGTGGTGTGTGTGCGTTGTATGTGTTTTGAGAGCGTGTGTATTTATTTTGTGTAAAGTGTGTGTATGTGTGATGTGTGTGCGTTGTATGTGTTTTGAGAGCGTGTGTATTTATTGTGTGTAAAGTGTGTGTGTATATGTGGTGTGTGCAGTATCTGTTGTATTTATTGTCTGTATGGTGTGTATGCAGTGTGTGTCTGTGTGTGTGGTGCCTGGTATGAGAGGGTCTACTGTTCCAACTCATGCAGGTTCTGTAATGCTATCACACCGAGATACCGTAGTTAACATGAAGAGGCGAACAAATAACCACTCTCTAAAAGTCATCTTATGTATGGCCTTGGTGAACGAACAGTTTGTCATGGTGGAGCACCGCTGTAACCCTGACAATTGTCGCCGGGTCAGTCTCCGACGTAGCTGCACGGGGCTTGCTCATACTCGCTGATGCGTCTCTTATGGGCTTCAGTATACTTCTTGCACCCGGGCATACATGGCAGCTGATTGTCAAACCCGTCCTTGTTGAGAAGCCAGTATGTAGCTATGAGACCCTTCCCCTGAGGAATAAATGTTTATAGGATCATTAACTGATTGGTCTGGTTTTCAGAAGACGTCAACACATTTCTAATCATCCTGATAACATGAAACACAAACAGCCGTTATCAAGTTATTGGTCTGGTATCAACTGTATTCTGCACGACCTTAACCTTAGGGAAGGGAAAGCAATATTCGAATACATATTATTAATGTCAGTAATGTTCTAAATACACCGACAGAATGCAAACACAAGCCCATAATATTGAGTCACTGGTCTCACAAGCCCATATTATTGAGCCACTTATCTGGTGTCTGTTTCATGTTCATGAAATGAAAATGTGTGTAACAACACACGTTGTTCAGTTCCATGTGTAAGGGTAGATTAGCCATGCGTTTAATTGAAACGGTGACTGCTGTGCGTACGATCTAAGAATATATGAAATATCTGAAAACTAAATAACATAAAACATCAACGTCAGGGAATAGCCAGTCTCGATCATCTGCCGAAACATGTTTTTCATTGGAGTAAAAGAGAAACAAGTGGGGAAAATGTGAGAACGCCGAAAAGCATTGACACCGGGTGTCAAAATAGGTGTAAGCGACAAAGAAGTGGGGGAAATGTATGAAAAGATCACCGAAACCATTGGTGACACCGGGTGTCCAAATAGGTGGTATGACACATTCGCAGTTTCAGGAGTCAACAATGCTAAAGGATTAATTATAATACACGGACGAGGTGGCACAACTGAGCATGGTTGGGGTACTGGGGTATATGTCATCATGTAGTTTTCAAGTACTCTTAAAGTTATTTTAAACATATTACATAGGAACTAGGAATATTTATAGACGTTGGGAACAGGATAGTGTTTTCAAACTGGATGGTAGGTGTTTCAGTGTTAATGTAATATTTCCGAGTCAGCAGTCTAAGTCTTTGTGTGTTTTTGGCCAATCCACTCAGGTTAACAATCTCATTTAGAGATGGAGCTTTTTCAATCAATCATTCTGGTTTGTCATTTTTTCACTGTTTCTTTCTTCTTCTTTTCCCGATGATCGAAATATATGCACGAACATATAATGAGCTCCAACATGATCATCAGTAACAGAAACGCTTTGCTTTGAGTATTTTTTTCTGATTAACTTAGGCCACAGAAACGGCTTATTCAATGAGTAAACAACGAAATTTTACTTTTCATCTGATATTGATTCACACATATTTTATTTGTGTTTTGACATTTTGATCGAATGGAGTGTGTGCGTTATAAACGTGGTACTATATTTTAACGTCATTTGGTATGAAGTTCCACTTTCCAAGCACGACTGCAATTAATCTTTACGATAGTCTATATGCCTACCTTAACTTCAATCTCTCCTTTTCTCTCAAAACACTTTTCATGAGAATATAGCTAGAATACGATCTAGGTGGGCTTTTTCTTTCTGTTTTTTCCCCATTCCACTGAGGTTAACAATCTCATTTAGGGCTGGAGCTTTTTCAATCAGTCATTCTGGTTTGTCTTTTTTCGCTTTTTTTGTCGCTGATCGAAATATAGACACGAACATATAATGACCTCCAACGTGATCATCAGTAACAGAAAGGCATCGCTATCAGTATTCTTTCTGATTAACTTAGTCCACAGAAATGGCTTATTCAATGAGTAAATAATGATATTTTACATTTGATCTGATAATGATCCACATATTGTTTTATTTAGGTTTTCACAGTTTGATCGGAATAAAGCATAAAGTTAGCATCTTCAATCTCAAAACTCCAAAAGATATCGCCTCGGAAAGATTGTTTGTTTGAGACACATTATACTGACCTACTGATCTAAAGAATATTTCGTTATATCTGTCGGTTCGTTATTGTTTAGTCTGTCATGCGGACCTTGAAACAGATATTCCTAATACAGCCCTTGCAGGTCTAGAATGTTTGGCAAGTCTCGACTACCACAGTTTTAAAAATGAAGAAAGTCTCGGGGCTCCTTTGTAATATATTCTATAAATATCATTTAGGATTTGTTTTGACAAGTAACAAGTGTGTTCGTTATAAACGTACTACCATCTTTTAACGTCATTTGGTATGACTTTCCACTCTCCAAGCACGACTGCAAATAATCTTGACGTTAGTGCTATACCTACCTTAACTTCGATCTCTCCTCTTCTCTCAAAATTGAAGCCCCCGATTTCCTTCAGGCAGTAGTAGGTGTTGTTGCTCAGTTGAATTCGGTCCGCTGGAATGAGTGTGTGAGCGAGAGGGTTAGTGAGTGTTGATTCAAGAAGAAACACTAACTCCTGTTTATAAAACGTCAACCCCAGACAACAATCAGTCGCGATTATCTGCCAAAACAGATTCCACTGGGGTTAAACAGCAAAATAGAGACGAGAATCACTGACAACACCAGGTGTTCACAACGTGACAGTATGGTGTGGGAAACATTTCCATAGTAACGTAGGCTATTACTACTATGATGATGTGTGGAGTTCTAGACAAAAAGGGGAACATATATCTTGGTATTAGTAAGGGAGACAACTCTTCAAAATATATGGCGGTGCCGGAGACAACCAAGGCATCCTATCGTAGAAGTAGACCGCTGCCATGTAGCTGGAATATTGTTAAGTGCAGCGGTAAAGAACAAACAGCAATCACAATTTACAGGACCATATAGAGTTATACGATTTGTTGCACTCTTTGAAACTATGTGTTTAGATTTATTTTCACAAGTCAGGGAATACATATAACCCAACTACAAATTATAAGAACGTCACTTACGTTAACACTCTTGAAATTGGAACAATATTACATATAATGCGGAGTGTCAGTTAAATGGGGGAGGAAATCCCGAAGTTATGCAGCTAGGTTTGTTGGCAAGGGATGTTGCTCAGTACAGCGAAAAGTGGCACAGGCACCTGTGTCTCTTGAAGATCCCGGTTATAATTGGTCTTCAGCAACCCGTGCTTGTCGTTAAAGGCGACTAACGGGATCGGGTGGTCAGGCTCTCTGACTTGGTTGACACATGTCATCGTATCCCAATTGCATTGATCGATGCTCATGTTGTTGATCACCGGATTGTCTGGTCCAGACTCGATTATTTACAGACCGCCGCCATATTGCTGGAATATTGCTGAGTGAGGCGTAAAACTAAACTCACTCATGCAATATGCACACTGGGTCATTATTCGCTGATGCACGTGGTTTCATTCGAAAGCAAAATGTCAGTAAAATTATACCAAATTATACCAAATACGGATTCACTAAGACTATATTTCCAACACAAAGAAATAGTCGTAATGAATTCTCTGTAGCTTCTCTTGCCGAGTTCCTTCCTCTTCAACAAATGAGGATGTCAATGAGGATGTTAGACGACAAGTGTGGGTGCATGGTTTTCAATGGTAAAGAGAAGGGCAGTGAACAACACATACATCGTGTCAGGTATGTGGGTGGAATCCTTTGTTCTGCACTCAGTTGCGTGATGCAGTCGATCATTCAGTTTTATCTGGCATTGAACTTATTTTATCTTTGAAAAGTAATACCACTCTAAATCGCCATGAGTGCAAAATCGTTGTTCAGCCACTGAACTTCAATCAGAAGGAGATGCATTCCTGTGATTGAGGGAACCTGAAGATTGGGTCAGCTGAACGAACTGAGATATCCTTGCAAGGGTGGGAAGAGTTTCAGCTCAAGTCCTTTAAGGTTAAAGAGGGCGAATTAAGCTGCAAGGGATGGGAAGGGAGGAGTATAATTTGCTTGAGCTGAAAAGGGGATGAAAATTGGTGGGGGTGGGTGAGTGAGTGAGTGAGTGAGCGGGTTTGGGTATGTATGGGTGGGTGGGTTGGTGTGTAAGTGAACGTTTTCGTGAGTATTAGTGTGGCTGTGTGAGGGTTTGAGTAGGTTCCTCAGTGTATACGTTTGTGCGTGAGTATGAATGTGTGCAGGAACTAGTGATTTAATATGTTTGCCACCGTAATACTTCTGAATTTCTATATGTGTGGTTGACAAATTTCTGATCTCATTAAAATATGTTTAATTGGTCGCTTTTGTTACTGTAACACATTGATCTAATCTTACTTACATGGCACAATTTCTGAGTACTCAGCCGTGAACAGCTCAATAATTGCTGATACAGCAAAACATAACACTCGCTGTCCCAGCAGATGTTTGTGACACGATACCCACTTAGTTAATATCCATAGGACATTCTGAGCTATCACCTGAAGTGTTATGATATATCCGTGACAACTGTCTCCTTCTGAAGCAGTACCTACAAACGCATCACCCCCATCACAAACGCTGACATTTACCAGGCTCCAGGTGACGGAAGCTTGGGAAGCCGCGATACTGTTGACTGTGAAGGCGGGGGTGACAGAAAGTGTGAGACAGCTATATCAGGCATATTACTGTCGGATCACCGCGTATCCTACTGGCATTACCAAACTAGATCAAACGTAACCCTATGTTCCCCTGAACCTGTTATGCAGCAGTTTAAAGATGTTGTGGGTGTCAATCAGTGGGTCACTGACAAGGGTCGTATATTTAACCGAACAAGAGGCCACTTACCGTTAGTTGACGGCACTGCGGGAAGCAGCAACGTGGAAACAGATGTTACTAGCTGTTATATCAGTGTATGTGCATGACTGACAATTGACCATGAGGTTGAAATAGACGTTACTAGCTGTTATATCATTGCATGTTTTTGACTGACATTTAGTTTTGTTTATTATTTTGTTTCATCGAGTAACCTAGTATATGGATATATGAGTGATTATGATCATGGTATCAACAATACTAAAGCAAGGTACACTAAATCCTTTTCAAATTGCTGTCGACAGAAAGCAGTCATCAAACATCACAAGACTCGATCAAAATTAAATCATCACTCTTCAAGAGTCAGTTTAATCAATTATCAAACCATAGAACACGATAGTCTCTCTTACTGCATGTGTCAACGGCCCCCATTCTGCCCCACAGTGGTGAAACACATCTGTGTTGTCTCCTTAGGCAAATGACTGCATTTGAACTTTGTACTCAGTAATGAATGGGCACTGAGTGGCTCTTAACCCTCTGATGCTTCAGGCTACCCTGGGCTGAGAATGAGATATCCGCCAATAATAATACAGTGCTTCGAGCATGCATTGGGCATGAAGTTGTCCTTTACAGTTGGACCTTGTAATCAACATAATGGTCGTCGTCATTGGTACCGTCATCTCAATCATGAGTTCTTCACTCTACCTCTGCCCGTGAAGACCCGGGTTAGAATTGGTCTTCAGCAACCCAAGAGACGACTAACGGGATCGGGTGGTCAGGCTCGCTGACTTGGTTGACACATGTCATCATATCCCAAATGCACGTATTGGTGATCATGCTGTTGATCACTGGATTGTCAGTTCCTATTAACAAATGCGGCAATGTAGCTAGAATATTACTGAGCGTTAAACAACAAACAAACAAAACAAACCTGGAATACCTAAAAGGATGTCCGTATGTATTTTTTGCTTTTGATTCCAATCTCCGGTCCGCTCTGAATTTCCATTCACACGTAAAATAATAAAAGGTTTTGATCAAACATTTCCAGCGGATGTGGAAATTTATGCCCTGATGCGATAAAAGATACAAAAACACTCCTGTCCTTGAACACTCAGGAAAAAACGAGGTCAGCATGATCTGTCTTCATGTAGTTTCTGTTTTTAAAAAAAATTGTTTCCGAATGCATGTCACGGACATGTTTCAATCTGCCAGTGTGAAAGAATCGGAACAAATTACAGTTGACGGAAAACAGCTGGTCTACTGAGCTGAGATTAACTTGACTTTCAATGACTTGGAAAATATCATTGGATATTTCGCTTCGAAGCGGAGTTTCAGAGGTGTATTCTCCTGCTCTGAAACTATTGCATCCTTTTCTCTTCGTGCCGGGGTATGATGTGTTTTCTGTCCCTCTCAAGAATTTATTTCCTCCATGGCGGGAGATATTGCATTTTATCCAGATCACGCGAACAAATCAGATTCGAACATTTTGACATGTAGGTGAATTCATAAACACACGAAACAAATATCGTAACACCCCATATTATTCATCGTATCGGTATGTTATCATTAACCATTGTAACGGAATTTACCCACACCTCAATTTAACTTGCTATCTGAATAAATTGGCCCTCAAACAATAATTCAATGTGATGCTGATAACTGTGGTCTTATGACGTTAACATTTTCAAGATTCTTACATACAATCCTCAAGACATCACACAAGTACCAATAACAGAGCACAATGTCAATATCTCGTCTAACCACCGCCAACAGTAAAAATATTCCTGGCCCTCCTCTTTATCACACGATGAATTTGACGTTGAGGTTTCCATTATTGAAGGAGAGCCTGTTCCCGTGCATCATGATTTTTGTACTGGAGGGTCTCTTTGGTGTATTCTGCGACTCCTAATATCCCAAACATGCTAAGTGGGATTGAGATTTGGATTCCAGTTGGACCAAGATAGAATCGTTACCACCTCTTGGTGGAAGAAACCAACGGAAACACGTGCACGATGTAGTCTATGTTGTGTTCAGAGGATGGTCCTCGAAATGTGGTACAACAACCCTGTCTAGGATGACCGTGGTGTACCCATGTCCATTCAGATTTTGTGTGATCATCACAAGGTCAAGTTTACAGTCATGTTAGGCGCCCCAAACCATTACGGAACCCCCGCCAAACGGCGGTGTTTCTGCGGAGGGCTCGGCCATCAGTCAGCCATGAATAATAGAAATCGACCATGACCTCAAAGTCCAGTAATGATGAGTTTGACACCAAGCTAGTCATGCTGTTTTGCGCTCTGGGGATAACAACGGATATTTGATATGTCATTTGGTGCTATAGTCGGCCGATTTTAGGTGATTTCGACCGTTCTGTTGGACAAATAACGATATTGAAGCCACTCTGTCCTACGACGTGACATGAACGGACATGAACGACGTGATTCTGAGAATGGCTGTATCCTCCCCAGGAGTTCACTTTAAACAAAAAATTCACTATAGTCTGTTTGCATGAAAACGTACCCCAGGAGTTCACTTTAAACAAAAAAGTAAATCAAATAAAGTGAAATTAAGATTGCGAATCCTCATAATTTTACCTTACCAATTTAACATTTAAATCTCAAAATTTTATTCAAATTAGGATAATAGTTGTTTAACAAACGATCATAGATTCAAATCGCTATTACTGGTTTGCATTATAATGGGGTAAGC